CAGGTCGGTGCGGAGCGCCACGAGTCGCGCTCCAGGCGCAGAGATCAATGCACCCGCGGTCGTCTCCGCTCGCAGCCGTCGCCGAGTAGATTCGCGAGAGACGACGAGGAAGACGCCTTGTTTTCCCGGTGTCGCGACGACTAGACATGGACCAGAAGGGCGGTCGCGAGAGACGCGCGACGAAGACGAGTAACCGGCTGACGCCGCGTCGTATCCTCGGAATGGTGGTGCGCATTCGATGCTCGCGCCCTGTGTAACTGTGCAGTGAAATATATGCGATGTAACGTCGGACGTGCAGCAGCGAAGTGGGCGTCTCTGCGGACGGACGGACGGACACGCGCCATAGGTAATCGTTAATCGGAAGAACCGATGGTCCAGGAGCGGAGGATGACGAGGAGCGCGATTTCGCGGAGATCGTCCTGGACGCGGTCGCTCAACGTCGCGCTAATGTCGAGGAGATGAGAGAGGACTGTCGGTGGGATCCCTTCGTGATCGCGGGAAGCCGATCGCCGCTCCATGAGGGAGATCGAGGGTCAGGATCGAAGAATCCTCGAAAATTGCGCGGGTCTCGCCGCTAATCGATGCTACGTAGACGGCGTGTCGGAGAGCAGCGCGAAAGAAGGAACGAGAGGAGGAGGAAGAGGAGGAGAGGGTCTCGCACGGTGAATACCTGGATTCGCAACGTCCTCCTCCCGAGTGTTCTCTCGGAGAAGTAACATCTCCGCGAGCTAACACGGCTACGATGGCGATCGCGATTGATCGGGAAACGCCGTATGCGTCGCAGTGATACATCCGTCGAGAATCGTCCCCGTGAACGATGCCGAACGCCGGTGAGACGCTCGTTCTCGCGACGACGAGAAGCGGCGAATTTCCCAGTGATAAATGGTGACCTAGAAGGGACGACAAGACGCGCGAGGGTGGAGTCCAGAAGAGAGAAAAGGGAGAGAACGAGGGAGGATCGAGAGCGCCGGAGAAAAATAAGGAAGAAGAAGAAGTTGATTAAGCGGCAACGAGACGAAGGATTCGAAGATGCTACGCGATCGCGCTAATTATCTCCTCGTTCGATACTACCACCGCGTACTACTCTCCTCGGCGTTGTTCGACCACTCGGGCACTCTCGATACGCTCCACATCGCGTGCGCTCGGCAAAGCGGAGAGTCGAAGCGTGAGGGAGAAAGGAAGAAAGTGGCGGTATATTGACGAAACGCAATACTGAACCCTAACGAAAACTAGTTACCCGGAAGGAAGGCTGCATTCCACCTCGATGCTGCGCCACACGGACATCTCCTAACGTTATTTAGCATCGAGCACCTGATTTCATCAGCCGAGAACACTTCGGCGCGACTTTCTTCCTTCGCGTTCGCCGAAGAAAGGGGAATGGGAGAAATGTATTGGTGAAGTATAGTACAGCGTTCTGTAGACTGATTATCCAAGAAGGGAGGAAAGAAGGTGTGCTTGCGAATGGCGTGATAGCGTCCGGAGATCCAGTGAGGCGAGGAGACGAGACCGAGGGAAGGTTGATGTGAAGTTCCGAAAAAGAAGGAAGGAAAGATTCGATCGGATTGAAAGAGAGAGAGATAGACGAGTGAGTTGCCGGATCGATGTGACACAGTGGCCCAACGTCGACGAACGTATGGGCAAGCTGGGGGCACGTTGGGGTGCCACCGTAGCGGTTGTACGATGGTGGTGATGCAACAGTCATCGACTGGGCGGAGAGACGCCTCCGGGAAATAGGGCGATGGTGAAAGTGCACACTCGCGGCGCGGCTCGTGTTCATCCGGCGGGTGTCGAGGAGGACGATCAGCGTGGTGGTCGCCGGAGGATAGACGATTAAAAGAACGAAGAGAGAGGGTGTCTCCGCTGACGCGGCGATGCATTCATCGATCGCGGACTCGCCGTCGCTCGCAGGAAGAGCCGTGGACGAAGGTCCTCGCAAATATCCCCCCGAGAAGGTGGACTGAGGAGGCACGAACAAAGCGGGGGGAGGGCAATCTCCTCGCGATGACCGGATCGTCGAGCACGGAGGAACGCGACCTCTTCCACGAAGTTACGTACGTGAACGAAGGATTCGTTAAGCCGAGATCGGAGGGGAGGGTATTCAGTGCGAGGCACCAATGTCGTCTGCGAGTCTCCCTGGGATGAGGGATCCCGTGCGGAAACTCCGTTGAAGGGGAGCTGCGACAACGCAAGGGAGGAAGGGAATAAAAAGAGAGAGAGAGAGAGAAGGAATGAGATCTATCGAACGGGATTAATTCGCCGATTAATGTGACTTGATCGAACTGTGTGAGGCTTCGACGCGTCGTACGGCACGCGTAGGTCAGGAGAGACACATAGGTCTCGCGCGCGCAGGAGCGCGAATCACATATGTACAGGTGCACAGACTACCGTAGTATCGACAGGATGTTCAAGAGCAGGATTTTCCAGGGCGATCTCAGCCCCGTCCCAATTCCAGGCAGCCTGCAACAGTCCAGTACGTAGTAAAAGAGAGAGAGAGAGAGAGCCGTACACACACCGTTTTGCACGTCGATCGAGCGCGCGGTTCTCGCGCAGGAGATCTCCCGCTGCCGCTCGCGATCGATTCCTCCGAATCCTCGGCCGCGTTGTCGTTATCCTCCCCGATATACGTCGGCTCCTGTACTTTCCGTCTTGTAACGACCTTGGGACGTTCGACCATCCACGTTAACTAATTAACTATTAATCGTCTCCCGTGAGGTTAACTAAGCTACACGCTTCGCGCTTTCTCCGTCGTCTACACAAAACTCACGAAAGTCGTATTAGCGCCTCGACAGTTTGTCGCTGTACATTAACCGCGGGCAAATTCTTTTTGTTACGAAACAGAAACAAAGTCCAGACTCTAATGATGTACAATATCAATAATAGAGAACACAGAAAAGAAAATGTAGACAGGCAAGTAAGAATTGAACGGTTATGTTAAAGCGGGCATAAACAATGATATCGTAGTTTTAAAAACTCGAAGAAGCTCAGTTTTCCTTTTCCATTTCCCCGCGGTTCTCTTCTATTTCTTTCCGCGAAAGAACTTTTTTCCCATTTTTCCACAGATTTTTTCGGTTTCTTTCCACAGAAAAAAAAAAGTGATTTTTTTAAACTAGAGAGAATCGATTATTCTCTCTAATAAACGACCATGATTGGTCAATTTAATTACAGCTTATGTCTTAAAGCAAGATTGTGGAAAAGAGATGACACTTCTGGACTGGATTTACCGATACGATTATGATACATACTGAATGGGCTCTTTATTTCTTTTTTACATCTTTGCTGGATTACACGGATGGATACGTTTATTTATTTTAATTTTTTAAATTATTACTATAGATGGCCCCCAAAAAAGTCTGAAGCGTTATATCTATCATTTCTTCTGTTTCTTCATGTGTTTTTCATATGTTTGTTTGATGAATCAGAGAAAATAATTATTTGTATCCTTGATATCAGCGTTCGACTTTTATTTGCTTGTTTTCTTTTTGTTATCGTACACCTAGAACGACGATGAAAATTAATTTCGACTAACGCAAGGCGAGAAAATCGTTTCCACACGATTCTCACGACTTCTCTCGATGATGCACAATTTGATTGGCTGAACGGTCAACATCGCGTCGTCGGTGATTGAAGACTCAATCAATAGAAGGGATAACATTGTTTTGACTGCGCAAAGTCACCCGAAAGGTTTCCGTAACTTGCCCCGTGACTATTTGCGCCGATGTCCCCGTGCAATTAAAGAAGCGAGGAGGAGGAGGAGGCGTGTGAAAATTTCGCAAACAGGCGTCCGACTGTTACTAAATGAGTCCAAGCTGTTCGACGGTAAAAACTAATTGGACTTGCAGAGGAAGCAAGCGGATCCTCCAGTTTTTTTCGTATCGCTCCGTTACACTTTCGTTTACATCTCGCTTGCTCACACCACGATACTGACGCGCGAGAGGGGATGAATTTATTCCCGAATGTCTATTCAGGAGAGAGAGACAGGATAAGAAGGGAAAAAGCGGCAGGGGCATATCTGGTCGTGATAGTGGGGCACCAAAGAGGTCGTTGACCCCTCTCTGGTGCAGCTGTTATTGATCGATGAGAGAGAGGACTAGCAACATCGCTGCGGCGTGTTACGCCGTAGCGCTTGTCTCTATCCCGACAGGCAGGATAAGGCATTTACATCGGTCATCGTGTCTCGAATTTCCCTGTTCCTCTTCTTCTTGTCCCTCCTATTTCTCATACCTTTTCTTCTTCCTCTTCGGCTTTTTCCCGAACTGATTTGGCGATCGCTTCGCTAAGCCGCTAACCGGAGACGTGACCCGAGAAAATCCGACGAGAGAGAGGGCCGAGCGTCGAATGGTGACCCAATAAACACTGGGTCACCTCTTTACCGACTCCACCGTAGTGTCCCCTTTCGGTCCCGTCTCTGCGTCCTCACAACGCTCACTTTCGTGAAATCGGATAATTTAGCGCCGTTAGGAAGCCAATCGGAAAATACGCAGGCCTGTGTATAACGGGTGTAGCTGGGAATGTCTCCTCGATTTTTAATCCTTGAAAGTAATCCTCCGATTTTTTAATTGGTTATAATACAGGCACCTTTTGGCCAACTCTCACCCATGTTGGTGTCAAGTTCGATGAATTTTCTTCTATTAATCTTTTTCGTGCAATATCGATTTCTATATCGATATATAGCTGAACATTTGTAGCGGATATATAATGGTTGTTACTTAACTGCGTATTATATTAACGACATTAATACAGGTTAACAAAGTACCGTACAACATTTGTTGCATTCGGGCCGGAATATATTTTCATATTCAATTGCACATTGCGTAAAAAACTGATATTGTTGGAACGTATGTTATTATTAAAACGATCGTGAATTGCGAGATAAGCGAGATGTTTCATTAGTCTGTTTCCATTTAAATCGGATATTTTGCATAACCGGACGATGTGTAACATTTCCGAGTTACTGTATATGAGAAATTAGTACTAATGAGCTGTATTTGTTTGTGTTTTAGGTCAGCAAGGCCAGCAGAGCGAGCAGGAACTGGCGACAAAAATGTTGCAAATTCAAAGCAAAAGATTCTACCTTGACGTAAAACAAAACAGACGTGGGAGGTTTATCAAAGTCGCCGAGGTATTTTCTTGTCTTCCTAATTTTATGCTCAATAGGTACCACGAGGTCCTTCAGATCCCATAGTATACACAGAGAACATTATCATAATTAATAATGAAACATAAGAAATAGAGCCTTCCAATTAAAATAATATTTTCCGATCAATTTCTTGTTAATGCATTCGTGCATTATGCTAAAATTATACAATCGCGCGATTACAGATTCACAATATTCCTTACGGACACACATTACACGAACTCATTTGCAATACAATAATTCATATTTTTACTATTAATATTTATTTGCAGATTGGAGCGGATGGGAGAAGAAGCCAAATCTACCTGGCACTTAGTACAGCATCCGAATTTCGGGACCATTTATCGACATTTAGCGACTTTTACGCATCCCTAGGTATATTACAACCACTATTAATTAAAAACTGAGGCAACTGTATTGGTTTGATTATATTGATATACGGCTGATATTGCGAAACATTCATTCCACAATGTTCAGATTCTATTGGAGAAAACTTCAATATATATATATGTTTCATAACATGATGTAAAATTGACGTAAAATTTGCTTTTATCCATTAACGATCGTCAGTAATCGAAGTTGTCTCTGTCCTGATGAAGAGAGAAATACTTCCGATTCATTAGCATCGATTAATATTAACCATTTGTATGATACCGGGTGATCAGGTCCACCAAATCCGGAAAACGTGCCAGACGACGGAAAACTCAAGTCAGAGATGATGGTGAAGGATAATAGGCGGTATTACTTGGACCTCAAGGAGAATTCTCGCGGCCGTTTCCTGCGGGTGAGTCACCCTGTATGTACCAGCCAATGTATTTACTTTCTACGCTAAGTCATAAGAAGAATCTCGGCTCTCATCTCGAGAGGTGGTGGCCTTTTCGAACGGTGACAAAGACAAGTGTAGAGCCTTTTCTAGAGCCGACGATGAAGAAAGAGGATTATGCGGAAAAAAAAGTCCAATGTGACCGCTCTCGCGACGTTGTAGATGCAAACGGTACAACAAATCGAGGCAGGGAATACCTTTAGTAACGTTCGGTGAATTTTTCAGGTGTCGCAGACGATAACACGGGGAGGCCCCAGAACGCAGATTGCGATACCGGCGCAAGGCATGATAGAATTTCGCGACGCGTTAACGGACCTTCTCGAGGAATTCGGGACGGACGACGGTGGCTTCAAAGGCGACCTGCCGGAAGGCCGTTATATGCGCGTGGATAGCAAGAATTTCTATTTTGATATCGGCCAGAACAATCGTGGCATCTACATGAGAATTTCTGAGGTATGTCGTTTGCTCACCTTTATTTCTCCTCGCTGTTACATTTTCCTTCGCTTATTCTCATCAATGTCGATCTTTGATCATTTGTATATATACAAGAAAAATCAGATAAAAGAACGTATAAAACATTTTTTTATAATCCATAATCAAACAGCTTTTCACTCACGAGCAGACATGAATGAAACGACAGACGATGCAAGTAGAGATGCATTTTTACAGGTGAAAACAAACTTCAGGACAGCCATCACCGTGCCGGAGAAGTCCTGGGCCCGTTTCCGTGATATCTTCGCAGATTACTGTGAAAAGATGAAGGAAGGCGGCGCTGGCGGCAGCTCCACCGCCGGCGGTGGGAACGTATTGTCCGAGGGGAAGGGTTCGGTGGTGGCACAGGTACCATCGCCATCCACGAGCACGCAGCCTAACCCCAATCCAAATTTAGACTCTCCCCTAATCAAGTGAAAAAGGCTTTAACTTAACTCGAACATTGGGAAATTATAAACGCGTAACTCGTTTTCAAGTCATTAAGCGAAGTAAAGGAACTTGTCAGAGTCTATGCCATCGTCATCGTCATCAATACTCGGCTACGGCATCGACATGGTCATCATCAGCATGATCATCGTCATTGTCATCGACACCATCACTGTCACCGTCGCCGTTATCGATACCACCATCGTCACCGTCATCGACGACACACCATCATCGTCACACTCGCCGTCAAGCGCGAACACCAAAACTCGCCTGAAACACGGCCATTATATCGCAAAGAGTATCAGCCGATTGTTGAGTATATTCGTATAACCACAGATTTGATAATGATAAAACAAAAAAGGAACGAAACGATGGGAAAAAACAAACGTGACACGGACGTGCGCGACGGTATACGTGGTTAGAAAAAAAAAACCGTGATTGTCGACGCGTCTCGCGTAAACGAGGAAGACGGAAGGTGGAAGGGATAAATCGAGGGATAGATGGTGTGTGTGTGTGCGAAGGGAAAACGAGTCACTGCCGCTCGTGCAACTAACAGAATAGATAAAATGAAGAAAAAAAAAGAAGAAGAAAAGGATACCACGCAACGACGAGATAGAGAGTAATAATTATCGCGCGATGTCTTTTTAGGCGAACACAAGTTGCCATCGATTAACGTTATGAGTACTACCGTTCATTTCCTGGCTTCTTCTAGACGCACGTTTCGTTTGTTCCGTTTGTTTCTGATTTTCTCGTTTAATCGCCGCTAAATTCCCAAACACGCTCTAATAGTACACACGTAACTTTATCATTTTACTTCTCACGTGCGCATTCGAGCGGATGAGAACCTTCGAGCAGGAAATGGACTGTAGTGTGGGTCACGTTACAATTGAATTTGATCGTTCAGAATTTATGAATATAAATAGTTGTTATATTAACGATTATATCATGACGAAGTAGGAAGGAAAAGGCGTGTGGGTTTTGTCGCGAGAGAAGGAGAAAAAAAAACAAGAAATAAGAAAGATCTATCTCGTGTCTACGTGTACGTATTACGCATTTTACGTACGACGTGAAAGAAAAGAAAAAAACTGAACGACGTCTCTATTAAAGTAATTACGAGATAATATATAACATAGGTGAGAGAGAGGGAGAAAAAAAAGATGCTAGCCGAGAGAGAGTACGAAAAACCATATTAATATATATATATAAATATATATATACATATTGATATATGTATATTATACAAAGTTAATTATGTTACTGTTCTTCTGTTTCATCGATTCGTACGAAAGGTGCGCATGCAATCATACATAAGAGGGCGCGTATACCAGGTACGCGCTTTTACGGAACGCATGACACACACACACACACACACAGACAAGTAGGTAAACTGAACACTTGATACATCGGTATACTAAACTACATACACTACATTACAAAACGCGAAACACCGAGGTCCATATATTTTGAACTCACTTTTCTCGATAAAAGTGCCTTAAATGTGGCTTCTCAGCCAATCAGATGGTTCCTAAGCCACTTTTAGAGGCAGTTTTATCGATAAATGAGAGTTCTCCGAGTATGGAGCTGGCAATTTCGACAACATTTCACATCGAAGACCCATAGGACACACGCATGAAGATATATTCCACCATGAAAGACATATTCCATCACGAAGGGCGAACGGTACAAGGGGACGGTGTGCACGTGTAATGTACTAGATTACGTAAGTTCGAGCGATGGCCGAGTTCTAACACAATTGCATATTAGGTATGTATTATACGAATACATAATAGGTATTTATATAGAATCTATATAACTGTATAATTGTAACGAAATGCCAATGTCCGCGGACCCAGGCGACTGTGCCCAGGTCCTAGCAACGGCGCGATCCTTGATCGAATTGAGACGCGCCGTTGTTGCCGACCTCTTGCAGTAGCTTAGGCCCCGCCCGCCGGACACAGGAAGAAAGATGATGAGACAAAACGTATGGCGGAGTGAAAGCGAGATAACGCATTTCGAGACGGTCGACTGGAGAATATGTGGAGGAATAACGCGACCGAGCTTCAACATCGGTCACAGGGAAGGGAAACCTCAATACGCTTCGATTCTGCAACGCTGTGCTAATATCTATCAATGACAAAAATGTCCATTCTCTTCTTTTCACATTTCTCCCAATCGAAATGGCAAGACCGACGTAAAGCCACCATATTCGTACTGGTGCGAATATCGCGAACGGTGGGCGACGCGTTTTTATCGGAGAAACGCGGATTCACGAGAAATTCGATCTTATTTATAATCGGTTTGAATGTACGTATTATTGGCACGTTCGCATTTTCGGGACGAACGGGTTGAAATTTTTATTTATACATATATATCTCCTATATACAAGACGAATTTATTATATCATTTATTTTGGACAAGATATATATTTCTTCTTTGTCATAAGAAAAGAAAAAAGAAACTTTTTCCTTTTAAAACGAAGAAACGACAATTTCGGCTGGTCTGAATTCACTTAGCACGTAGAAGTCTCAATGATTACATACAATATGAAATATAAATCACGATCACCAATTCAAAGTACGCACGAGTGGACGGAACATTGAGACTAGAACCCCGATCCCCTTCAATTTAAGTATACTTAGTCCTTGTTCTATCGTCTTTTTAACGCACCAAACGGATATGTATATATATATATATAAATTATATATGTATCGCGTGTGTGTAATCAACTGAATACCCCGACAAGATCCTTGGTGAACGCATTTATCGCTACTTTTACACCTGACACGTTCACTCGTTCATCGTTGAACTTCTCATTGAGTTCCAAGGGGATCGGAATAAAATCCGCGATCTGTGCACAAACATTGTATATTATTCAAAAAAAAAAAAAAAGAAAACCAAGCGTTGCATCGGGACGGGAATGGCATAGAGGAGAGGCATAGAAAAATCGTTCACTGGCTAGGCAGATGGTATGACATTGTGATCTATACAAATTACAAATCACAAAGCATCCATAAGTAGTAGATATTTAAGATATAAATACACACACACACGTACATCTATGGTGACTGGAGAGAAAAAGAGAGAAAGAGAGAGTGAGAGTGAGAAAAAGGGAGGGAGAGAAAAAAACACTGTGTTACTAAGCATTCGCGCGACAGCGCGTGCAAAGAAAAACACATACAAACACACATTATTAAAAGGCGAAGACGACTACAAACGTACCTAAATCTAACTAAAAACAAAACGCAGAGCAAGAGGAAGGAAGAAAAAGAGAGAGAGAGAGAGAGAGAGAGAGAGAGAGAGAGAGAGAGGGACAGAGAGAGAGAGAGAGAGACAGACAGAGACAGAGAGACAGACAGATATAAAGAAACAAAAAAAAATTGGAAGAGATACCGTCTCACACGTATAAGAGTAAGCAAAGTAATATAATGAAAGAAAAAAACCACACACGACGCTCCTGCCACGCAGCGAGTCTTTAGACAGCTTTAAGATAATAATTATAAATGATAAAATAATAATTATTAAATAATAACGATAAACTTTCTATATGTTGAATCGTGTCTAGTGAGAGAAAAGTACTATCGAAGTAAACCAACACAAAAAAATAATAATACTATCGCCACACACACACACACAACACACGGAATTACGCAGTTTGTATGATCATCAAGATTAGTTGTCTCTATTGAGTATTTTCTTTATTTTTTTTTTTTTTTTTTTTTTTTTTTTTTTTCTTTTCTTCGTAAGTACGTATAGCGGAGAGGGTGGCTGTTAGAGAGTAGCTAATGATGATGTTTCGTTTTGTTACTTCACAAAACAAACGTTGTGCGCGGTTGGTGATCGGCGGACCTTTTTGCTAAGTGTTAAAATAATGTCTACGTGAGGAAAGAAAGAAAGAAAAAAAAATAACAAAACAAAGGGGGTGCCNCCTTTTTTTTTTTTTTTTTTTTTTTTATTATACGGTGGAGTTATTATACTGTTAGCATACTGTTATTCATTGTCACGCGCTATTATTGTCACGCAGGACTTTCACACGTGGGGACGTGTAGGCGCGCACAGCAACCGCATGCGTGCAGCGACGCCCGACGCACGTTGCACCGTCGAAAGGAGGGACGCACTCGCGACTGTGAACGTGCCATGCGCGCACATCTTCTCGTCGCGACTGTGATCTCGTCCGCTGCGCGACATTGTGGCTTGCGAAGAAAAGAGGGAGAGCAGAGGTAGAAGAAACTAACAGCTTCGCGCCACTGTATGAAAGTCCTGCTGTCGCTGCGATTATTCTTATCATTATTATTAATATTAATTATTACGATTATATTGTCATTATTCTTACTATTACGATTATTCTTCTTATTACTGCTATCATTAACTATTAGTATCATTTATCATTGGAGCGCTACTAGTTGTGTACTGATCACTAATAACGAAACCGGCCTCGAGCGGGCTGATTTTCTTTTCCTCCTTATTTCTTTTTTTTTCTTTATTAGCGTACACGTTGTGACAACGATCGGTCGAGTTTTGCGAATTCAAAATGTGGCTTTTTCTTTTTCTTCCCGCATTTTATTTCTCTCGTTCCATCTTCGGCCACAGTTCTCCCCGCTCCGCATATACATTCTCTCTTCATGCGTTTACTTAAGTTTTACTTTCTTCCCTACTCCCGTAGACTCGCGTTTCGCCCTTCCATTAAAATCGGCCCACTCAGGTCTGGCGTAGAGTCGATGGTGAAATGCGGTTGAGAGAGAGAGAGAGAGAGAGAGAGAGAGAGAGAGAGAGAGAGAGAGAGAGAGAGAGTTAAAAAAGAGAGTGACTCGACGAGAGATCGACTGGCGCCAACAGAACTTTGATCGACGGTGTTTAGATTAGACTATTACTTATTAGGTTCGTGGTCTAGCAGATCGCGCGTCGAATCTACGAGCAGAATTATATATATATATAAATCGTTTATATATATCGTTATATATATATATATATATATATATATATATA